AAATCATCACTTCAATATATATCACTCCTTACTTCTAAATCAACAATTCAATATTTTTAAATGGCAATGTTGTGGTTGGGAGAAAATCATCGGGGAACACCGGCCAATATTGCCGCATTTGTATGTTATTTTTATTCACATTTCTGTTATTTATCTATTTGAATTTATTGATTTGTATTTATTTTCAATCATTCAACAAGTTTGTATTTATTTGTTTTTATATTTGTAACAGTCCGATAGCGAGAGATTCAGACTACATTCTCATGCTATTGATGCACCAACCAAAGAAATTAAACCGTTTTTGGAACGAGCTGGTTTCGCAAAAGTTGCAGAAATCTCCTCGATCAAAGTTGATTCAAAGCTTGTAATCGCTATGTTGGAGAGGTGGAGACCAGAAACACATACTTTCCATCTACCAACAGGTGAATGTACCATCACTTTGGAGGATGTGAGTATGTTATTGGGTCTTCGCGTGAATGGTAAGGCCGTGAATGGTCCTACTCAGGTAGGAGGTGATGTATATATGGAACATTTAGGCGTAGAACCTACAACATCTGATAAACATAAAGGGTACGTTAAAATTGTTTGGCTACAAACAACATTAGCACGATTACGACAAAAAGCAAGACCAACCGATGAGGAAAATCTACAACATGCAAAAATATATATTTTATTACTAATAGCTAAGGTATTAATGCCAGACAAGAGCCATAACTATATGCATTCTTCTTGGATACCCCTAGTTGGAGATTTAGATAAATGCAGAAGATATAGTTGGGGTTCTGCTTGTTTGGCTACATTATATAGACATATGTGTAAAGCATGTATGGTAGGGGTCAAAAGTATTGGTGGGTGTGTTCTACTACTAAGTGTTTGGACATATTGGCGTATACCACTAATAGCTCCAGAGTCTCCCGCCACTGCACACCATCCTTATGCAACAAGGTAAATTTTGTTAATGCAACATTCTCTAAATATGTGTCACCCATTGTATTAAAACTCTAACACTTATATTTTATGTAACAGTTTATTTGGAGGCCATACCCAAGCTACCCCGAATGCGTCCTTCAAGATAGCCAGATTTGGAGCGCTACAACATCAATTATCAGTTTCCATATCGTTGAAATGCATCAGGCTGATAGGGTAAAATTGCAGTTTGGATTTCAACAAGATATCCCTCCTCAGCCTAGATGTCTACGTCAACAACATGAGACTGATATGCCTAATACATGGGGAGATCATTGGCGCAATATAAATAAAGAAGAAAATAACGAGTGGAGAAACAGAACAAATTTGACCCTACGAGGTAACATGGTTAACGGTAACTGTGTTCATAGTGCTGAATATATGCAATGGTTTTTATCCATTCCATTTATGCACGCTTCTCAAGGTCAGTTCCTAGAGGACCCCCGTCAGTATGCAACGTCTTCATCACAACAAAGATCCTCTTCGCCCATGCCTCAAGAAATGCCTCAGGTGAACCCTTCACAATTTGAAACACAGACATCTTCATTCAACCAGCCAACATTCTTTGCCGCCTCCTCTCAACAACCAACACAACCACAACCCCAACCAACATATCAACGAACTCATACTACATTCTTTGCCACCTCCTCTCAACAACCAACACCGTACACCCCAACCCCACAACCAAACTACTACTATCGACAACAATATCAGGAACAAGCCACATTTCAACCTTCTTTTCAATTCACTCCGATCCCTCAGCCTAATTTTGATTTCTCTTACCCCCAACCACAACACCAAACATTTAACCCTTCAATGTCTCATCCAAGTTCATCCGGTCGCACCGACAATGTTTATTACCCTCCCATCCAACAAAACCCTCCAACCACTTTCACCCAACCATTCCAGTCAGCCCCTAACTTTACCCTAACGGATGATCAACTCATGGAATGGCCAGGTTTTTCGGTTACTGATGTGGACATGCTTGATACATCACGTCAACCTGAAAATGAAGAGTTGACTTCCGACTCTACCCCATCACCTCCAACATCACCTCCAATACGGCAAACTCAAGAGTTAGGCAGGGGGAAACGTGTGAAAAAGAGTACATTGTGTGGAACTGGCGGTCATTTGCGTAGATAAATATGATGTATTTTCTCCACTCATCAATATTAATAAAATATCTTTTTTTATTTTATCTAATTATTTAGTTAAACAATTAATTATATAATTTATTATTTTATATAATTATTTATCATTTTGTATATATAAAAATATTAAAAAATAATTTGAAATAATTAAATTACTTATTAGGTAATATAAAATATCATTTAACTAATTTTAATATATAAAAAACAATTAATTAGATAATGTAAAAAACAATTATTAATATTTAATACTTAATTATATAATGTAAAAAACAATTATTAATATTTAATAATTAATTATATAATGTAAAATTTATATTATTTATATTAAATTATTTTTAAAATAATTAAATTATTTATTATTATTATATAATATTATTTAAATCATTTAAATATAAAAAAATCTATTAAAAACAAAAAATAATAAAAAAAAACTCATTTTAATTCTGAAATTAAAAAAAAAAAAAAAAAAAAAAAGACATAGAGCAGGGTCGGCCATCCATTGGCCGAACCCATGCTGCGCCCAAAAGACTTTCAGTGGGTCGTCCAACCATAGGACGAACCCTTAAAGAAGTAGTGGCATTTGTGAAATTTTTTTTCAGCTTGTGGCAATTTGGTTAATTCCATTTCAGCTTGTGGCATATGAGTAAAAAATTCGAACTTGTGAGTTTTGACCATGCAACATTTACTATTCCCAATTTGAGTTATTATTACGAATAAGCACGTGACACCTTGCATGCACGCTCTGCTGCCATTCTTCTTCCTACCAAATAAACAACTACCAATCCAACGGTTGCCTTAACAATAACAAACTCTAAAATTCATATTCATATTTAATTACTAAATTATTTGACAAGAAAAAACAAATTTATTAAGTGTCTTATAATATTTTATATAAATATTTTAGTGGAGATGTGACATCTCAGTCTTGTGATCCTCGAACATCAGGCGTCGGAGAGTGTTTCCGACTTCATCGAAATTTTTAATTTATTCGTTTTAAAAAATAAAACTTTGATTATTAAACTAAAAAACAAAAAAAAATATTTTATATATTAAAAGACTATTTTTATGAAAAGAATATTTTATTTTACTTTTAATGAAAAAGTATTATTCATCATTTTAGTACTGTTTTGTGAAAATTCAAACTCAATATTTTAAAATAACCTCCGGCAAAAAATATGTTGAAAAATACATTATTTAAAAGCTGTTAAAGCAATCAGTTTTAATCGTTAATAGTATAATAAAGTATAATGAAAAGAGATATTGTGTGGAATATTCGTAGAAAAAAGATAGTATTTGGATCTTTTGTTGCTCAGCAAGAGCTGGATGGGTGGGAATATTTAAAAGCATAGAGAAAAGGACTAAAAAAAGAGAGAGAAAAACAAAATATAAGTGGAAGGATGCTTCGCTTATGACTCATCGGATTCTTTAATATTCATAACAAATAGTATATATATATAAATTTTAATTTAGTTGTGTAATATATTTTTTTTGAATTTTTTTTTATAATATTTTTTTTTATTCTTTAAACGTGTGATTTGAACACTAAATTTAAATGATAAACAAATAAAAAGTTATAGAAATGATTTTGATGCTTAAAGACCAAAAAATAGAATTTTAACATTTTAAAATAAATTCAATTTTTTTTTACAGAAACAAATCAAAATTCGCCTATATTTTTGTATATTTAATTCCAATATCATATTGTATTTTCTTTAGAAAAATATATCATTATTTGATTTTGTATTTTTATTGTTTTTGACAATACAATATTATTATATAAATTAAATTGTTTTTAATTCAATAAATAATTGATTTATGCAATTTATATATATTCGATAAATTAAAAAATTAATAGTGCTTGTAATAGGAGGAAATACTATTCTTAATTTTTATGGTAGATTGAATTGGTATTTTTTTAATAATAATTTGTGGGCAGACATCAAAATATGGAATATGATTGATAACAAAAAATTTAATAATTGATTTATGAGTTTTTTTGGTTGCCAAGAAGATAAAAATAATTAACATAATATTTTTTTTAAAGAATTAAAGCATTAATATAAACTTTTTTAAATTAAAGGACAGAAAAAAACCTCTAAGTTAATATACAAGACATGATATTAAATCTTATTTCTTTTATATTATATAAATATAATAAAATAGTTATGAATTTTACTTTTTTCTATTAGATTTTTTTAAAAAATTAAAAATTTAACTACAATTTTAATCCTCTATTTTATTTTTTTAGTTTTGATTCTTCTATTTTAAAAAGAATTTAATTGATATGCACTGTCAGTAAATATTTTTATACTGTTAATTAATCTCAATTGCTGATTTATTTAAATATTTTTATTTTTTTAACCATTTAAAAATTAATATTAAAAAATAATTGTAATATATTGACAGTATAAAACTTATTACAACTAACGGTATATAACAATTAATTTTTTTTAAAAATTACAATTTTAATTCTTTTTAAAATAAAGATAAAAAAAAAATAGAGAGTCCAAAATTACAATTAAATAAAATTAATTAAAATATAAAAAATAACATATTTTTTTGAAAGGAAGAAAATAAGTTATTCATAAATAAGAATAAATTAAATTTACGAATAATTAAAATAAAGTCAAAATTAAGAAGAGAAAGCGTTTTGGAAACGAAAACGAGATGCCTACTACTTAAAACCAGAATATTCTTTAAAATAAAAAGAAGAAGGTTTCGTGCAGCGTTACTCCTTACTATACCTCTGTTCGGTTTCTCTCTCTTTCTCTCTCATCAATGCCGCTCTTTCCTATCTGAATTCTCAACTCTAGAGAGAGAAACACTAACCTTTTCTAGAGAGAGAAGCCGGTAGTAGGGTACACACACTCGCACCAAACAACAATGGCTTCTTTGGATATCTTCCTCTTCTCTCTCAGTACAGCCTTTTGTACTCCTTTCGCCGTTTACATTCAGATCCAGGTTTTTCACTTCTCTTTTTTTTCTTCTTTCTTTTTAATCAATCATCCTTCTTTATTTAGGGTAATTTCATTTCTACTGAATTCTTCATCAGAATTTGTATCACTCTTTTTTTTTACTCGAAATTCAGTTGTACTCGTTTACTTCTTTTTTTCCCCTCTTTATATTCAATAATTTTTGTTTAATCTTTCTCTTGTTTAATTCTTTGATTCTTGAAGTTTATTCATTAGTAAATTAAGTTTTGTTTATACTTAGATATATTAGTACATTGTGAATTTTATTTTATTTTTTTATCTCTACACTGCCTGGTTATGATTAATTTGGGTGGTAGCTGGTCATTTTTTTGCTTCTGCGGTAAAAAAAAAAATTTAATTTTGAGTGAATTGATTCTTTAAAATTGATTCTGGTTACGGGTGAGTTTATGTTTGGATAATTTTATGTAAAATTGAGTTAAAAAGTAAATTCCAATGTAAAAAACCGTTTAAACTCAAAAGCTACAAATTCTAGCTTCAAGGAGAATTTTGGAGGCAGAATCAATTCTATACCTCTAGAATTGCTTTTGGTTCTTACAAAAGTTAAACCAAACATACACTTTATTTGTTACAAGGTTTTCTTTTCTGGAGGGGAGAGGTTTACAAAGTGGTGACATAATTGGGATTTGATTTCTGAATCAAGTAGTAAAAGGGGTACTTGGTGCCAGTGAAGCTTTTTGGTGGACAATTTATGAGTATGCTTTTGGTTTAACAACTTGGGGTTGTTGGAAAGTACATTACTTTTGAATTTATTCTGGATTCATATTTATGTAACTGTTGCTTTCATGATGAGAATTGAATGAACGGTTTGCTTTGTAGGATGTGGATGGTATTTAGCTATCCTTAAATGCATGTGATTTAGCTGTTCAATCTCCTTTTTCCTAGGAACTTTTTAACTGATTTTATTCCCAGTTTTTATTTTAAAGTTGAGGTATCAGTTTGGGTTGTTTTTCTCCCTATCTGTCATGTCACAGATTTGACATCTTGTAGGATTTAATTCTAGTACATATAGAATATACTTGCAACACAAGAAACATTGGAGGGGGAGTTTCACATTGTTGTAGGAGTTTTAGTGATAAGTTGCATTTCAAATTGGAATTGTAAAATTGCATGATTATTGAGATGGAATTAATTAAGAAGGTCATGAAATCTCGAGGATCCTTCAGGTAAACCCCTTGCTTTTTTAGTGGTTGGATTGAGAAATTCCTTATTAGTGGCAGCAGTGTAGTCAATATCTAGTGCTGGATCATAAGATCGTAAGATCTTTCGTGCCAAGGGTGCCTGAGAGTGCAATGATCAGAGAATGATTGTTTTCGTCGTCAGTGTGGTGAAGATTGAGCTTTTTGAAGCAAGATCGTAAAAAAAAACATGTTAGACCTTTTTTTTGCGCCTGAATTTAATTTTCATGTTTTTGTGTATGATGTGCCATTGCTAACAATCCGAGTTTTACGATCTTTCACAAGCCGATCGATCCTATTTAAGATCTCGTGCTTGACTACATTGAGTGGCAGTGTTAAGTAAATATATATAGATCTTGTGGTTTGATTGAACAATTGCATGATAATAGTAACATATGTTTCCTTGAAATCTTAGTTTGTATGTCACCACCTTTGTTACTTTAGAGAGATATCGGGAGAAATAATCATAAACCTGAATGTTATGTTTGCTCTACAGGGATGTTTCATTTGCTTAACACTTGCGCTTGGGTGGGCTCTTGCTTCTTATGTTAGGTACTATAACTCAATATTGTCAGAGTCTGGAAACACTTTCAGTGTCATGTTTATGAGAAATAATGCAGTTTCCCTCTTACAGGAACAGAGAGATAAAACAAATGAAGGATGCTATGAAGAATGGGAATAGTTTATCTTTCCTTTGTCATGACATTAATGAACTTGAGCACTCCTATCAGGCCAATCTTCCAAGGGTAACAGTAGTTATGCCCCTGAAAGGATTTGGGGAACACAATCTCCACAACTGGAGGAGTCAGGTAAAACTCATATGTCACATTCTCCTGGAACTTATTTGATATTTCTGTTTTTCTTTTGGTCCACATGTGCTGCCTGCCTTATTGGTTCTTCCATGAATAGTGCATTATGACTTGGAAAATTTTAATTTAATTTAAACTTATTTGTATTTGTGTATTTCACATATTTTCTCTTTCATATTCCTAAATTTTAAGTTCTAATTAAATTGTATCATATGTAGCAAAGATGATGAAGTTGCGTTGGATTTGTTGTAAGACTATACGAAATAAGTTTAGAAATGACAACATTAGAGAAAGTGTTGGAGTAGCACCTATAATAGAAAAGATGGTAGAAAATAGGCTGAGGTGGTTTGGGCATGTAGTGAAAAGACCTATGTATTTTGTAGTAAGCCTAGAAAAGCTATAAGAAAAATAAACGGTTAAGAAAGATCTCGAGATTAATGAGTTGGAGAAGCATGGTTTTTTTGTAGAACATTATGATGTAGTTTGATCATGTAGCCGACTCCACTTAGTAAGAAAAGGCTTGGTTGTTGTTATGCTCGCATTTTGGGCCTACTATTGATTATTCATTTTTGCTGCATAGTCAACAACAGTCGGTTGTAACTGTGAACATCTATTTAAGCTAATACTTGGACTTCATATGTCAAATTTAATTGCGAAATTTCATTACGGTTCTGTCTTTTTATCTATTTATTTTTAAATGCAGATAACATCTCTTTACGGTGGCCCTATAGAGTTTCTTTTTGTGGTAGAAAGCACAGAAGATCCTGCTTACCGTGCAGTATCACGGCTAATATCAGAATTCAAGGTATAAATAAGTGCACATTTCCCTTCATTTATACATCCATGTTTTGAATTATTTGCAATCTTAAACTGATTTCAGTATGGTTTTTATACCCCGTTACCCTGTTGGAACCAGACAAACTTCTGTTTTGAAGTTTGATTCTGTTCCTTCCAAGTCATTACCTGATTTTTTTGCTTTCTTGGGTACATATTCTAATTTTGTCTGTATCTCACTAAATTGGATAAGTGTTTGATATATGCAGGATGATGTTGATGTTAAGGTTATCGTAGCTGGTTTATCAACAACTTGTAGTCAAAAAATTCACAATCAATTGGTATGTAAATTTACTGACATATTTTGATTGTTCTTTTAAATACAAAGTATATCTTTATTGTTGACTAGTTCCCTACATTTATTGAATGTCAACTTAAATCTATGTTGAAAAGGGTGACAATCTTAGTTGTTTTATTGACTAGTAGTTAGACATGATTTCATTTCCCAGCATAACACTTGATAGTTACAACAATACATGCATGCCAGACCTGAATTAACTTTTTTATAATTTGATATTGACACTTTGTTTGGGTCATTTACTGGACTGTTAAACTGTCCTTGTTAGATTCATTTTGCTAACTACACTAGTATTACATGCTAATATTAGACTACTGGCAGGTTGGGGTGGAGAAAATGCACAAAGACAGCAAGTATGTATTGTTTTTGGATGATGATGTTAGGATACATCCTGGATCAATCGGAGCGCTCACTCGTGAGATGGAGAAAAACCCTAAGGTATTACTTAAACTTTGTTTCTTCTTGCTTTTTTAGGTGTTAATGATAATTATTATAATTCTACTTACCTGAGTTTTTATTTTTTGTGGTTTTAACCGTTTTGATGCTTCACAGATATTTATTCAAACTGGATATCCTCTTGATTTGCCATCTGGAAGTCTAGGGAGTTACTGCATCTATGAATATCATATGGTACACAATTACCTCTATCTTTTTATTCTCTGATCTCTGCAGCACACATCTGTGCATAAGATGGTTTTCCTTTTATTTTCCAGGTGTTTTGAAGAGTATACGAATAAAGCTTAGTTTGCTAATTGAATTTAAATTAAGACACAATATTAATCAGACAACTTCTCATTTAGGCTTTTGATAATGTATCATTATTTAACGCTGATTCCACATCATGGATCTATTGCATGCCTTACCTTGCATTAGAGGCTTTTTCCACAACAACTTGAACATGTGTCCTCCAGTCACAGAATATGTTAATATTTAATTAAGTTATTTAATGTTTTCTTTCCTAATCTTTTCTTCTTTTGTTTTATTATACAGCCTTGTTCGATGGGATTTGCCACTGGTGGGAGAACATTCTTTCTGTGGGGAGGCTGTATGATGGCAAGTAGCTTTTGCCTTTTCTTAGTTGTCGCTTTAAAGAAAAGCTTAATTTTAACTTGTTAGTTTTTCTCCAGATGCATGCTGATGACTTCAGGCAAGATCGTTATGGTGTAGTCTCGGGACTTAAAGATGGTGGATACTCCGATGATATGACTCTTGCAGCCATAGCTGGTACATCTTTGATTTTCTTATCAAATTTCTTGATGTAATTATCACTTCAATCATATAAAGTTTAAACATATTCATCATCATATGTAACTGCACTATCTGTACCAATCATTGAAAAACAAATACCTGATAGTTGATCCTATTATTCTAACAATTACTACATTGTTGTCTTTTTCAGGGGCTCATAAAAGACTTATTACTTCTCCCCCAGTTGCTGTCTTTCCTCACCCCCTTGCCAGTGATCTTAATTTTGGAAGGTTTGTGACTATTACTCATCTGAAAAATAAAGTTTCCTTCCATTTTTGATGACTTAGTTTTTAAAATTATGTAGATACTGGAATTACTTGAGGAAACAAACATTTGTTTTGGAGTCATATACAACAACTGTTAACTGGGTGATGAATCGTGCATTGTTTGGTGTTCACTGCTATTTGTCATGGGGATTTGTAGCACCATTCTTTATGGCAACGATTCATCTTGCAGCGGCATTTAGATTTTATAGTTTGGGATACTCACTTGAAGAAGTGACCTATACTCCTGCTGGTGAGCACACTACTTTTCCTTTTTAGGCAGGTTGTCAGTGATGCTAACTAAGAGATATTGTTCAACTTAGTTGCAGTGTTAGAAGCTCTGGTCATGCTCTCATCATACAAATATAAATTTGAAATTGCCGTGGGTTTATTTCATTCAGGAATAGAACTAGTGTGAATTTTTGTGTTATATGAAATTTGTAAATAAGTACTTTGTATAACTTTAAATATGTTAATATCTTAACACCTTCTGACCTTGTGGGATGTTCAAATACATTAGACAAATCCAGTCTGTTTCTAATATATGTCATTGTTTTTTTGTTTCAAACATGCACACAAGCCCAAATTTAAATCCAAAAATAGCACTATCTTTTCCATTTTTATGAGTTGTATCTCCACTTCCAACATTTTCAGTTCTTTCATTTTGATGCGTGCCTTTTCCCAGGGTTATCACTGGTGAGCTTCCTAGCCATATGCACTCTTGTGGAACTTCTTTCAATGTGGAATTTGACAAGGATAGAAGTTCAACTATGCAACATGCTGTCTCCAGAGGCACCACAACTATCTCTTGCTGCCTATAATTGGTGTCTTGTAAGTTTTATTTTATTTTTAATATGGTTAGATTTTAAACGTTTATCCTATTTAGTTCCTGCAAATAAATGGTTTTCCACTCTTAGCCCCTGCAAAATTTTCTGACATTTAAAAAAGCAATATATTTTTGCCGCTGTATTTTTTTAGGTTATCTTGCAATGATGTTGCTAATCGAAATACATGTCACTGTATCAGCATAGAATTAATAATGCCATGTGTACAAAAAAGACACCAACTCACTATCAGAACTACTTCAATTCTCCTCTCTTCTTCAGCTTCTCACTATCCACCCCCTCGCACTCTCTACCGCGTCAACCCCCTACTATGGCGTTGGGTCAGTGAGAAAGAAAATGAAAGTGAGTTGGAGTCCACATGACAGACATTATTAATCCTACGCGGCAACAATGATGTGTATTTTCCTTCATCATTTAAGCGTGAAAAAGTGAAGATTAATGGCGGAGACAAACAAATGATTTTGTAAATATTAGGGACCAATGAAGGACAAAATTGAGCAGAGACTAAAAGTGAAAATGACAATATTTATGGGGATAAAAGACATTTTAAGGGAAAAATTAAATTGAACCAAACTTGGCAAGCAATGAGTGACATAAGCTGTACCGATACCTGCCACGGCAGGAGTTTAGATGAACATGGGTTAAGTGTAAATAATGCATGGGGCACCAAATGTACTTGATTACTTGTTTTGCTAAAGTTAGAAAGGGTGTTATTTTTTCACAGGTGTTTATTGCGTTGCTAGTGGATAATTTTCTATACCCTCTGTCTGCGATCAAGTCTCATTTTTCTCAATCTATCAACTGGTCTGGTATTTGGTACTATTTAAAAGATGGAAAAATTATTAAGGTATGATGGTCAAGGCTTTATGTCATCTCTGACTTGACTTCTTTTACCGCCGTTTTCTCAAACAAAAAGTATTTGAATGTACACTCTGCAGATTGAAAGAACTGAAAGAGGCAAGGATATGACTCCAGTTTTCACAGACTTGGGAGGGAAACATTTATACGGAAAGAAAGGGATACCTGCCAAAGGTTCATTCATCAGTTCTTTGTCCAGAACTCTTGCACAATGGCATCAACCCAAAAAATTTGATAATTAGGCAAAAGCTTCAAGCAGCTGTATCATTCTCTCTTTTGAAGCAAGGGTGTTGGTAGATCACATTGATCTCATTTATTGTTTGGTGCAATTCTTGATTGATTGTTTTAGATGATGGTAGGAGTCCTAGTTCCATTTTTTCATTACCCATTCAATCCATAATTATTTTTTAGTGCAAGCTTTGCCCCTGGCTTCATTTTGTAATTGTAACTGTTATGTGATATAATACATGGAACAGTACTAAAAAATTGCAAAGTTTATAGACAAACATGCAGTGATCCGCATCATCTCATTCACGCGATAGCATTTTCTTATTCAAGGACCAAGCAAAGCACTCACAAGTCAGAATAATTGTTACCAAAAAAGCATGAAATTTAGACCCGAGTTGTTTCTACTCACAGCATGAATTAGTACAATGCAAACAATTTATTTAACAAATTTCCAAGGTGAAAATTTCAGAACAAGATGGAATGTTGGTCTTAATAAAAGTCTTTGATTTCACACTGGGTTGAGTGCAAGCTGTAGTGCTATTAGCCTATATATGACTATTGCTACACTTTTTTCGATAAGCTCTAATATTATTTCATTTTTCTTTATAATACATTCCACCGAAAGTCATATAAACTTGCACCATTCACTAGGAACAGAATAAAGCAAAGAACAAAAGAATCCATAGTAACAAAAACTTCCTTTTGGCCTTTACCTTTATCTAAAAAACTCTCCATTAACATTTCCACATCTACTCAAGAAATAGAAAGCATCATCAGCAAAGCAGTGATATGGGGTGCTGCTTCCATGGCTCCACAGCTATGCCACCAACGGAAACTTCTCTACCAAGCAGTACTGTTGAAGACTATGCTGGACCCAAGAACCTCAAACAAGAAGTCCTGATACAAATACCAGGATGTAAAGTTCATCTGATGGATGAAGGAGAGGCTTTTGCACTTGCTCAAGGCCATTTCATGGTCATCAAAACATTGGAGGAGACTGTGTCTCTTGCAACAATTATTAAAGTTGGAAACGAACTTCAGTGGCCTTTGACTAAAGATGAGCCTGTAGTGAAGCTAGACGCTCTCCATTACCTGTTTTCGTTGCCTGTGAAAGACGGCGAGCCTCTTAGCTATGGCGTAACCTTTTCGGAAGATAGTTATGGAAGTTTGAGTTTTCTAGACTCGTTTTTGAATGAACACTCCTGCTTTTCTGGCTTAAAGTTGAATAACAAGAATGATCTTGATTGGAAGGAGTTTGCTCCGAGGGTCGAAGATTACAATCATTTTCTGTCCAAGCTTATTGCAGGAGGAACTGGGCAGATTGTGAAGGGTATCTTCATCTGCAGCAATGCTTACACAAACAAGGTTTTGTTTCACTGTCAAAATACTAATACTCTTGTTTTAAGAAGCATGAAGTACATTCTAATTTCTTGTGTCTACAAACCAGGTTCAAAAAGGAGGAGAAAAGATCCTAAATAATCATGCAGATGAGAAAAACAGTATTGTGGCCAACGAAAGCATGAGCAACAAGAGCGCGATGGCCTCGAAGAAGAACAAGATCAATAAAAACCTCAAACGGTAAACGAAAATGACTCTGAGGTGCACACATATAGCACATAATACTTAGTATGATGATAGTTGTGTTTTGTATTGCAATGTAGTGTGAGGAAGCTGTCTAAGATGACAGAAAAGCTGAGCAAATCTTTGCTTAATGGTGTTGGCATAGTTAGTGGAACAGTGATGGCTCCTTTGGTTAAATCCCAACCAGGAAAGGCATTTTTAAGGATGTTACCTGGTGAGGTGCTGTTGGCTTCATTTGATGCTGTCAGTAAGTAAAAACACTTGATGAAAGAACCCTTTTTGTTCAATATTATTCCTTTCAAATAAGGAATAATAACATCGTCTTGACTTTTCTATTTCCGTTATGTTATGCTGCAGACAAAGTTCTAGATGCAGCTGAAGCTGCTGAAAAACAAACTCTTTCTGCTACCTCAAAAGCTGCTTCCAGAATGGTCTCTAACAGATATGGGGAAAATGCTGGGGAAGCTACTGAGCATGTGTTTGCAACTGCTGGACATGCTGCTAACACTGCTTGGAATGTCTTTAAAATTCGAAAAGCCATCAATCCAGCTTCATCAGCAACCAAGGGTGCACTGAAAAATGCTGTCAAAAATACAAGTTTTAAGCATTAAATTCTATTTAAGTTGCTTTATACTTGTTTGTCAAAAAAGTGGTGCAATTGATTAGTACTTTTTGTATACATGACATGTATTCATTTCAATTTCAAGTATACACCATTTAAGAAGAAGTAAGTCCTAAGCTTTGATTTTAGAAGGATGTAACAGAAGGGATAAAAGTATTAATAACTAATTAAATTCAAAAGTATTAGAATGTTAAAAAAAGAAGTTAAAAATAGAGTTTTTTTATTAATATTAAAAAGGGAAAGAAGCTTCCCAATAAAGATAAATTGAGCATAGTTTGTTTTACAAATATATAATATATAAATATATATTGATAGATAAATATTTGACTCAATTGATTTAATGTAAGTTTAAAATCAGTGTCGGATCCATCACGTTAGGACAGGGGTGGCCAATCCCCCCCAAAATATATTATATTTTCTATTTAATTTTCACACTTGAAATTGAACGAAGTAGAGGGGAGTTATGTTATATTGTTTGAATTTACAAAAATTGAATAGAATGGAAAAGAGTATGATGAAACACATTCCATCCAATACTACTATTTTGACCCATTTTTTATTCCTATGTATTCAATAGAATGGAATCAATTAATAAAACAATTACAATTTTATTACAACAACCTATGGGGATACCAATGTTGGACTTTTAACTAAGGGAGTATTGAACATAGTGGGACTTTTTTCTAGAGTAACATTTGTGAGAGACACACCACATACTCACCCAAAACCTTAAGGTGATAGGTGTATGGGTTCTATCACTTATAAATGCTCAAGTCACCACATTTCTATCCAATGTGGGACTATTATCCACCCTACTCACACTTGTTAATACTTAACAGTTAAGAATGTCGATGCATTGAAAGCTCTTAATGGAATTTCAATCGATAAGTGGAAGGAATGTTATATCTCATTGTTACAGACTATCCCTTTTGATAATGGTAACATATTTATTTATCACTTTTGAGTATTTATTTTTATCTTTAACGAATGAAATATTTGCGTAATTTATTTTATTTTATTTTTGCAGGTTTTGTGGAATGCTTAAAGAAGGGAGTCATTATCTATTATGGATCAATATTTGTCTTTTTTATTAGAAGACTTGATATCATTATTTACTATAAACATATATTTATCGTTTAATTTTAGTAAAACTTGATTTTGTTTATGAATTACTATGAATACTCAGTATGATGTTGATCAAAACTTGTGCACTTGGTCTTTGTAATTTCAAGTTATAATAACCATGTTTTATTTATGAACATTTTAATTTATTACTGTATGTTTTAATTTCTTTCAAGTGTTAAGTTGATATTTCTCTATGATTACTTATATATTATTTTAGTGTGAGAATGTTGGATCTATCAATATTGTAGCAAATGATAAAAATGGAATAAAAAATTATAATGTTTTTCGTTCCGTCCTATTCCCAACCAGTAGAATGAAATATTAGTTCCGCTCCATTGTAAAATACCCAAACAATGGAATGAAGTTTATATTCCGTTTCATTCCACTCCATCCTATTCTGCTCCGCTCCGTTATTTTTAAATTATCCAAACATAGCCTGAATCAAATTTTTTTCTATTTTTTATTTTATTGAAAACCGATTATAAATTGTATTCAAAAAAATCGGTGCCTCCACCACCAAAATCTCCGGTGGTTTCTACTCCGTTAGCTCATCCGGACTCGCGAAGCCACATTGTCAGCAAGAGATTCAGTAATGCAGAAATTGGGGAAATCGAAAACCTTGGTGAAACTTCAGAAGCTCGTGATGAAGAATTTGTTGATGAGGTGAGTAAAGAAGTTGAACTGGAAAACCCTAATCAAGCTGAAATTCATGAGGAAGGGCGAAAATTATGGGTTGATGTGTTGAAGGATAATAGGAATCCGGCGAAAGGGCGTGCAATGAGGTTCATAGCCCCCCAAGTCGTGGATGGGAAAATAGAGGTATTCATTGAAGAAGACGATGTCAGGTCTGAAGTCAAGTTCTGGGAAGCCTCTCTGATTCTATATGCAATGGGAGCGGACTTGAGTATGACTACTGTAAAGAATTTCATGACCAGATCTTGGAACTTTGTTCAACTGCCGGACATGTATTTCCACGATGAAGGGTATTTTATTCTCTGGTTTAAATCGTTCAAAGATCGTGATGAAGTTCTGCTGAGAGGTCCGTATATGATAAGGAACATTCCTTTGTTGATACGAGAATGGAGGCCAGGATTCAAGATCAAGGATGAACTGCTGCGAACCCTACCTATTTGGGTAAAACTTCCCCAACTCCCTATCGTATTGTGGGGCGATAAAAGCCTGAATAAGATTGGGAGTGCCCTGGGTAATCCTATTATGACAGATGAATGTACTGCAAATAGACTGCGAGTGTCATATGCGCGTATTCTTGTTGAAATGGATATTACAAAAGAGCTTCCTCAAACAATCACCATTGCTGACCATGAAGGTGCAAAGTTTCAACAAGCAATTGAGTATGAATGGAGACCTCTATTTTGCAACAAATGTCAAAAGGTAGGTCATAGTTGCGAAAAGCCTAAGGTGAGGAAACAAGGATACCAAAGCATGTGAAACAACCTGAAACTAATGTGGAATCGAAAAAGGTAGAGGCTGATCATACAGGGCCTAATGAAGTGGGCAATGTGAATAAGGTCATAGCTCAGACTAGGAAGAACAAGGTAAGCACTTCTGTTGAGACTCCTTCTCCTGTGGCTGAAGATATCAGAAACAAGGATGTGGCAGCAGCTGTGGAAAAATGGACTGAGGTTATCAAAAGTGGTAAAGATAGAGGGAAAAAGTCAGTTAATGATAGCTCGGTAGGTTTGGTTTCATGTGATAATGGGTTTGATGCTCTAGAGATTTTGAAGGATCTCATAGAGTCTCAAAACACTAGTCAATGATTATTTCTTGGAATCTCAGGGGACTGAATAAAATGGGGAAGTTAAAGGAGGCTAGCTCCCGTCTCCTAAACCTTCATCCTCATATTGCAATTCTGTTAGAAACTAGAGTTAAGTGTGATAAAGCCAAGAAAGTGAGAGACTGTCTTAACCTCAGAGGTAAGTATCTTGATAACTATCAAGCTCATTATAATGGCAGGATTTGGATTTTTTGGGATGACAGTTATAAGGACATCAGATTGGTGAGGTGTACATCTCAACTAATACATTGTGGGGTCTATGATACAAATGGAACCTTCCAAAATTGGATGACAGCCATTTATGCTATGAATCAGCTGGACCAAAGAAGAGAATTATGGGAGGATTTGGAACACATTCATAATAGCCAACAAGGGCCTTGGTTCCTTATGGGTGATTTTAATAATGTGACAAAGTCCATGGATAGAATTGGGGGTAATTTGGGGACTGAGAGAGAATATGTTGATATCAGGAACTTGATGGATCATGTTGGGCTGTTTGAGAAGGACAACATAGGGGATTATTTTACTTGGACAAATAAACATTCTGTAGGTACTATCTATTCCGAAATTGATCATGTGCTTGGTAACATTGACTGGCTGCAGAATAATACTGATGTGAAACTAGAGATTCTCCCTCCTAGTATATTTGATCATTGCCTACTTTGTCTGTCTGACCAGCAAAACAATAGAACTGTAAACACCAATTTCAAGTTTACTAATAGTGTGATTAAGGTGGCTGGTTATCAGGACATTGTTAGGCAGAGCTGGAGTAAAGCTTATGCTGGTAGACCTATGGCTCGACTTTGGTACAAACTTCTGAGGTTGCAGGCTCCTCTTATCAAATTGAGTAAACAGTTCTCTCATCTCCATTTGACCATTATTCAAGCTAGGACTGAGTTGCTCAAAGCACAGGAAGAGCTTATTGTGGACAGAATGAATAGAGGGATTATTGAGAAGGTGAAAAAGCACACTGATGAAATGATCTACCTGTAGGATCTTAATGTTAAAATGTTAAGACAACGAACTAAACTGGATTGGCTTAGAGAAGGTGATACAAACTCAGCTTTCTTTTATGCCTACCTCAAATCTAGGAATGTAGCTACCCACCTCAGTCAACTTCAAAAGGAGGATGGTACCTATATACAGAATCCTCATGATATAGAACAGAAGGTTTGTGATTTCTATGGAAAGCTGTATGGGACTCGAGAACACAAAGTGAGCATGATTGATATTAATGCCATGAGGGAGGGACCCCAGTTAACTGTGATGCAGAGAGCTGACCTAATTACCCCTGTAACTGTTGCTGAAATAAAAGATGCTATTAAAGGGATTGGAGACTTAAAGAGCCCTGGTGTTGATGGTTATGGTGGTAAATTTTTCAAGGCAAGCTGGAACATCATAGAACAGGATGTTGTAGAAGCTGTCCAAGAATTCTTTGAGCATAATGTGATGTACAAAAGGTTTAATGAGACCATTGTCACCTTGATCCCTAAACACCCTGCTGCTAAAATGATAAAAGAGTATAGGCCTATTGCATGGTGTACTACTGTTTACAAAATCATTTCCAAGATCCTCACTACAAGGCTTGGAAGAGTATTGGGAACTATTATCAGTAAAACCCAGGCAGCTTTTGTGCCAGGACAGAAAATTCATTCTCATATATTATTGGCAATGGAACTGTTAAAAGGTTATAACAGGAGAAATGGTACTCCAAGATGCATGATTCAACTTGATCTACAAAAGGCATATGACATGGTTGATTGGGGTGCTCTTGGCAATATTCTTAATGAGATAGGTCTGCCTAAGAGGTTTGTTGATTGGATCATGACTACTGTTACCACAGTCTCCTATAGATTCAACATTAATGGCACTTACACTGATAAGCTAGAGGCTAGAAGGGGCATTAGACAAGCGGATTCCTTGTCCCCCCTTCTGTTTGTGATAACTATGGAGTACCTTAGTAGGCTGTTGTTCAGAATGCAAAAAAACCCGGATTTCAATCATCATACTAGATGTGAAAGGATGCAACTCACTCACCTAATATTTGTTGATGATCTTCTGATGTTCTCAAGAGGGGATCAAGGCTCCATGGAGATTCTGCAGCGCACTATCAAAAGCTTTTTGGATTCCACAGGTATGAAAATTAATCCATCAAAAAGTAAGGTGTACTTTGGTAGTGTTCCAGATTCTGTTAAGAACATAATTCTGCAGTTGACTTCTTATAAAGAGGGGTCCTTACCCTTTAGATATCTTGGAGTCCCAGTGACTAGTAAGAAGTTGTCTGTTGTTCATTATATGCCGTTGGTGGATAAATTAGTGAGTAGGATAACCCATTGGAGTTCTAGGCTTCTTAGTTATGCTGGAAGACTGCAGTTGATTAAAAGTGTGTTGTATGCTATTACTTCTTACTGGATGCAGTGTATATGGTTCCCTAAAGCTGTGATTAGCAAAATCAATGCCATTTGTAGATCTTTTCTCTGAACAGGGGGTAGCACTATCAGTAGGAAGAGTCCAATTGTCTGGGAAAAGATGTGCAAACCTACTGCAAAAGGGGGTATGAATGTGTTGGATTTAGAGGTTTGGAATAACATGTTTATGATGAAATTACTCTGGAACATTTGCATGAAAACTGATGATTTATGGGTTCGGTGGATACACGCCTATTACTTAAAAAATAAGGATGTGTTGCATAGAATGGTAAAGGGATCAGACACGACTAATTTTAAAAATATTCTTCTGCAAAGGGACAACATAGGAAACATGCAGATTGCTTGGAATGAGATGGTGCAAACAGGGTGATTCAATGGTAGGAAAATGTATATGAACTTGTTGCCTGCCACACCAAATGTTATTTGGGCCAAGTTAATTCTCCATAATAGAGCAAGACCTCGTGCAATCTATACACTATGGATGATCTGTCATGGAAAGTTAGCCACAAAAGCCAGACTGTATCGGTTTGGAATGGTGAATAATCATTGTGTCTTTTGTTCTGAGGTGGAAACCATTGACCACCTATTTTTTGAGTGTTCTATTTTGAGGAAGGTCTGGGTTGAAACGCTCCATTGGATTGGTATCCAACACACTCCTGGAAGTTGGAATGGGGAGAGAAATTGGATTATGAATTGTTATGGAGGTAAAGGTTGGAAAGCTGACCTTGTTAGATTAGCTCTGACACAAACTCTGCATGAGTTGTGACACTTTAGAAATGACTTTTGTTTTAATCAAAGAGATGACCATAGGAATTGTACAGATAGAATCATTAACAATATAATCTATAGAGGGTGGTCGAGTCCTAAGCTTAGACCACACATAGCTTTTTTGATGGTACAGTAAGTTTAGTTTGTATTCTTGGTGTGGGCTGGATCTTTGATCGCCTTGTGGTGTTTTGGTTTTGGATTAATGAAATTATTTTGATTTAAAAAAAAAAAAACTGAATATGAACTGGTTTGCAAAAACACCGGTTTTTTTACTGAAACCGGATTAAGAACTGAACCGAACCATAAACTTGGTCCAGTTTGGTTTGATTAATAAACCATGAACAAAACCCCTTAGTTTACCGTTCTTGTTCTTCTGTTGTTAAAAATCAAAACGCCACGTAAACCCTAATCGAGCTTCAGCCGCCACCGTCTACGTTCCGCCGCCGTCACCACTCTAAGGTACGTTCTCTTTCTCATTTTCTCCTTCCCTTTCAATCGCTTTCATTCTCTATTCTAATCTCAAAGTTTCACTTCTTCCCTTTCGTTTAACCTTACGCTTTTCCGAAAAATTTCGTTGTTGTTCTCGTGAAATGGATCTTTTGTTATATGATAATTAAGCTAATCATCCAAACATTGTATATAAAATTAACGAATTGTTATGACAGTGAAAAACAATGAGGAAGCTAAAGTTTCATGAGAAGAAGCTTTTGAAGAAGGTGAATTTTTTGGAATGGAAGAGAGAAGGGGGACACAGAGAGAACATGGTTATTCAGCGATACCACATTACTCAACGGGATGATTATAAAAAGTATTAATTCACATTGTTTTTTTAATTGTTGTTGTTCTCGCATTCGGTAATTTTCTTTGTTTTGATTTGGTTTTTAGCTGATCGATTTTTTGTGTCACTGGGATTGTGGAAAAATGAACAGGTATGCAACTTTAACACGGATGGTTCAGAAGTTGGTGCACCTGGTAAAACAGATGGACGCCAAGGATTCGGATCGAGTTAAGATGACTGATAATCTTTTGGAAAAACTGTAAGTTTTCTTTTTGAAGTAACATGTTTAAATATATGATTTCTATTGTTTGAACTGGATTAATTGGTGCAGATACTGTGAATTTTGATTTTCCTTAAATTCAGTTACAAATTTAGTTGATGTAATGTATAAAAATTGTGGGGTGGTTTTATGTAAGTATAAGCAGCAACTACAGGTGATCAGATAAAATATAATAAAAATAGGTGGCCTGATTGTAATGGCCCTTTGGATTTGTAGCACCGACACTTCTGAAAAAAGGTGTTTGTGTCGGTATCGGACACCTACACCGTCATTTGTGATTATATTTAATTTATTCATTTTTTCAAATTATTACCAGTGTTGTCGTGTCAGTGTCGGTGTTGTATTCGGGTTATCCGTGTTTCACAGCCCTTTGGTTCTCTCAGCATGATGACGAAGTCCATGACTGTTAGATAACTTAAACGTTTGTCCAGGATAGTTCATAACTACATGGATATAGCTTAATGCCGAGAAGGATAAAATAGGGTTACCATTTCTAGTGCGATAATTGTTCTATTTTAGTGATAATTCTCTTTTTGTATCTTCCTTCTTGGTAAGTTGCATTAGTTCGAAACAAAGAAGGAAAAAATAAATGTTGGAGTCACTTACAGTTACACATATCTGTTTCATTAACTCACTCTTTTATTTTTGACAGTTATAACATGGGTGTGATTCCAACCAGGCAAAGCATCACGTTATGTGAACGCTTAACCGTGTCATCCTTCTGCAGGTAAAAGGAACGCTTTACTGCTTTTAATGATTTACATGAAAATGTAGTTATGAACTTTACTTATTAGTTCATTAGAGTGTATTATCATATGAAAATTAACAAAAGGCTTCGGATTTTGCCAATATGTGGTTGTTCCGAGTGGTTATGGACTTAAACATACCTTATGCAAATGGTCATGGAGTTTCAATTGGGTTTGGAATAATACTTAGCTAATTGAATTATTCTGTTAATAAACCAATTTGTTGCGGTCAAACAAGCCAAGTCAGGCTAGTAAAATATAGGACAAGTAATAAACAAAATCTAGAAATCCTAAAAGCATCTACAGTTATGGACATGGATGAAGTATCAAATGTGGAGTTTTGGGAATTTAATTGTTCCCTATGCTAATTTTTGATGTTTACTTCAGATGTTTTGAGTTGTAATAAAGTTGAGGTAGCTTGAACATTTTTTGCATAATTAACTGCACCAATGGTGAAGTGGATCTAATTTAAAGTGCAAATTTGATCACTTAAAGGTCAACAACGTATGGTTTATTGTCGATTTGAAGCTAGGCAAAGCTAACCATTTTAGTCACATGAAAAGAGATATGCACCGGAGTAAGGCCAAGGCTGCCATAATTAAATAATTAACTCTCTTCTAATGTGACTGTCAAGGGCCATGTTATGTGATTGCAAATAACTTCCTTCCAATGTGACTGTCAAGTATTTTTGGGTGAAAAATGTGACTTTCAACTGGTTATTGGTTCTGATCTCTTAACCTTGTCTTGCCTGTTTTACACAATAAGTAACACAAATTAATTGATTTTTTGTGTACCACGACTTTGGATTACATTGATCTCATTTGCTCCAAATTATGTTAACTATCATGCAGACGGAGGCTCTCAACTGTTTTGGTGAGACTAAAATTTGCGGAGCATTTGAAAGAAGCCGTAACATATATTGAGCAGGGGCATGTTCGGGTTGGGCCAGATACAATTACAGACCCAGCTTTCCTTGTAACTAGAAACCAGGAAGACTTCATTACATGGGTGGATTCGTCTAAGATAAAGAGAAAGGTGCTTCAGTACAATGACAAGTTGGATGACTATGATTTAATGAATTAGTTGGCTTCTTGTGCTTTACTATTGAACAATTTTTGTATTGTAGACATGGATGAATTAAGATTATTCGAATCTGTGGATTAAATATTAAACTTTTTATCGATCTATTTAGCCGTGTATACATGCGAAGATTTTAATGGAAATTTCTCTTTTTTTTTCAAATGAAATAATCATTACATTTTATGATGAGGCTGTGACGAAAATCTAATAACGAAATTATGTGGAAAATGGTGGAAGATGCGAAAATCTATTTTTGAGGTGGCTTTATTTTAATTCTAAGAGTATCATATACAATATATCTAAGGGGTTCTTGAATTCTAAAACATGTCTAGGAATTTTAGAAACATGAAATTAAGATTTTAAGGTGTCATTGGCGGAGTAAATAGAGGGAAGAAGAGAGAATATTTCTAATTAATATGTTTAATTTAAATATTTCTAATTAATATGTTTAATTTAAATTTTAAGAGGGAAGATGAGGGGAGAGGAGGGGATTAAAAATCCAGAATGCACTTTTGAGTCCTTTTAAATTGAGAGATTTAGAGGGGAGTGGAGGTAATGTAATTTTTATTATTTAAATTTGTTTTATATTTGTTAAAATATCTTCAATTTTATAATAGTATTTCAAAATTATTGATTTTCTTTTGCATAAGTTTTTCTCTTTTGTGTGATTTTTTCTGTTGCTTTTATCACTTTATTATAATTGTTTTTCGTCTTCAAAATTATTTTCGTACTTTTATACTTAATATTGTTTACTGTGAAAATTAGTAAACAACCGCTGATCTTTCCAAATCTAAAAAGAATTGGGTTACTTACATGATCGACCATACAAATCCTAGGACGTGTGGTAGTAAATCTTAAATTAAAGTTTGAAAAATGGTGAATACTTCGACAATACTCATGATCTAACAGTTAACAAACTTCGAAATTCAAAGGAAATAAATTTCAGAGACTTAATCACAAGCAATTAAATGTATTGAAAATAACTTGAGCAATAAAAAGATAAATTTGTGGTAAAAAGATAAAACTTGAATTAAAGTGTAAAAATATGGTGTTTGTCAAACATACATTTTCTCGACACACTATTTTCTCTGCACACGAGTACTTTAAATAATTCTAGAGATTTTGTATAACTTTGAAAACACTGATTCTAACGCTAGGACTTTCTATTTATAATGATTGAAAATAACTGACCCTAACGGTCTTCCTACAAACATAAGACACGTGGCGCTCGACATGTCTTCTTTCCTCGAAAATACTTCACGCGTCTCCTTCAAAAATCTGGATAAGAACAAAAGTTCCCTCCTTTATTTCAATTCAAATCTCATGTCGAAACAACATCAACAATTCTCCGTCGAACCAACTTCTAAGACTTAGGATATTTTTTCCCAAATCTTATTCAACATATCCTCCTTATACAAAAAGGTAGCTTCGACCGAAACAAACAAGTTTCACGATTTTGTCGAAACCTCTCACAACTTCATGTAACTTTCTTTATTGTTTCCATTAATTAAAACTAGGAATCGAATTTAGGAGCTAACAAATATACATTATAATCACGACACTTTTTTTAAAATAATTTTTATATTTACTTTTAGTTTTTTCTCTTCTAATTTTGTTATGTATTCTATTGTATTTTATTTTACATCAAATTTAAACCATTCATTTTTTTGTCTATTACATTATTATTTTGTGTATTAGTTTTGTTAGATTGTTCATAACGGTTTAAAAGTTGTTATCAACACATAGTTTAAAAGTTGTTATTTTGTGTATTTTTTTAATGTTACATTATAACTTTTTAAATCAATCAACATTAAAAATTGCGTTTAATTATTTATGTATATTTTATTACCAAATGATATTTATGAATTTTTCACCTTTGAATATCATATGACTTATATAAGGTTATAAAAATAAAAATGTAATTTATTACTAAAATCTCCTCCCTTCCCTTGTAAACCAAACATATTTTTAATTAAAATCTCTCTTTTCCTTCCCTCCTCTCTCCTTTTTCGAACCAAACATATATATAATTATTAAAATTCCATCACCTCCGCTCCCTTTCCTTTCCCTCCATTAAAATATCTCTCCTCATTTCCCCTTCATTTGAACCAAGTAGACCATTAGAGATGCCAAGCAATAGGGTGCATCAATTATATTTGGGTTTCAATTTGGTTTCAATTTGGTCATTCAGATCCATATATATATATATATATATATATATATATATATATATATATATATATATATATATATATATATATATATATATATATATATATATATATATATATATGGAGATTGTTTGGAGTGGCTCAAGAATTCTATTGATTTGTTTATCTACTTTCTTCTAGAGATTAAGATCCACAGTTGGTACCTCTAGCTACCTGACACCCATAGTCTGGTGCATTTAGTGTTAATTCTCGTGATTTGTTGCTTGTGATGGTGGCAACTGCAACTCAATATCGTAGATAAATATGCAGCCAGACTAAAAATTATGAGCACTGAGCATGTAAAGTTTTTGTGGATGTGCATTGCGGCTGGATGTGCTTGATTGTATTCAAGGGTTATTTAATTATGATGTTTTATCTTATCAGTTTTTATTGCTGGGGTTTTGTGTCATATCAGTTGTGTTTTGGTTGAGTGGAAGATCCTCTCTCACATTTTCCTGCAATCTGAGTAGTAAGTGTATAGGCGATGGATGGCGTGGCAGTTGCTACATTATCGTTTTGAAACCAGGGGGTTGTATCAGAAGATTTTTGCAGTGTTGACTTAGTTAGATGTGGTCTAGTTGTGAAAATTGTTTCATCAGTTAGTGTTTAATGATTCCAGTGTATTGATATATGTCTCGCATATCCAACGGCGGTGCATAACCATCAATTTTGCATCGGCCTTGAAGAATGGTCGCGTCCTAGTTTATCTTGTTGTATCTGTTTCTGCTTTGTTGGTTTGGTGTTTTTAATTTAGTATTAGTTGTTTATGAGTGTTAGACGATGGCTCGGATCTAGAAGGAGGGGTTGAATAGATCCCGATTAAAATTTGAGTCGGCGCTTACCAATTTAAAATTGGTTTTAAAAATGTTTTTAAGTGCGGAAGCGGCCTTGGAAAAACACGTCTAAAATGAACCGTTATTGGAAGATCGGATATGCGTTAAGCTAACGGATATGATAATAAAATAATAGTAGATTCAATACACTAGGCACACTAATCAATTTGTTTTACCACTTATTGGTAGTGCTAGTTCCAATGCTCAACACAGCCCACCAAAATATAGCAAGTATACTAAGTAAGTTTTGGTTCAGGCAATTTATCGAACACTTGGTGTGCACAACATTCCAAGTGGATTATGACTCAAGTAAGCAACTTTAGAATCCTTGTACAATTGTTTATTGTACACAAGTTGAAAAAGTTCCAGTTACTTACTAAATTCAATGTTCGAATCAATAAAATTGCTTAAACTAAAATCACTTAATTATTAAGCTGAAAGTGAAAATGCTGAAAATAAAAGAAGACAAAGATTTGTTGAGGCAGTTCCCCCGCCGTCCTCGCTTCGGGGTACGTCTGCCCTCAATTCTAAAAATAGAATTGAGATGATTTATAATAGATATCACCTGAAAAGTTGTAGTAGTTTATACAAGAGTTGATAAGCAATAATACAAACAATCCCTATAGACGTTGATGTTGCTATCACTTCTTGCTCCTTGATTCGAGTTGAATCAAGACCTCCGATCGTTGTGAATTAACCTCCGATTCCAGCCCCTTTGTTGAATACCTTTCAGTTCTTCAAACCCTCGGCCCGACTGATCTTTAGACACCAACGTATCGAACCCGGAACTCCCTTCAACACTTCACAGCCCCAGTTACTAGATTGATGAAATCGTCCGTTTCACAATCACCTTTGCACCGTTGAATGTTGATGGAGAATAACCGTACCAAAAACCCCCAAATTCGTAGAATCTTGGAGGGCAAAACCTTCAAGGTTTTATTCAAGAAAAACCTGCCACAAATCTCCACTCGAACTGGACTTTCCCTCAACGGATTCGAACCTTATCACCTTGAACGAGACACAAAGCACTCCAAAAATGGTTGTGTGTAGTTGCAGTGTCATGTGTTGTTTGAGGATGAAGATGAAGAGAAATGTAGCACCTATTTTACTTTTCTTGTTTTCACAATATACTCAAAATGTAATTGTTTTTTTTTTGTTAAAATGAACAACCTTCTATTTATAGTAGTAAGACAAATAACTAACACAACAGGATTTCAAACAGTGAAGAAAATACTTAACAACGCGCGAACGGTCGAGCATAACAGGTCCATGCGTCGACGCATGACCTGCAGATTTCAGTAATGTTAAAAATTCAACAGTATGCGTCGACCATAGGTCGGCGCGCGCTGACCCGTGAGAATTGTGAAGACTTCATGCGCCGACTGATGGTCGACTCATGGTGTCCATGCGCTGACCCGTGGAAAAATTAACTGGGTGTGCGCTGACTGGTATGGTCGACTCAGAGCTTCAAAACCTGCAAAAAATCATCACTTGTTGTTTCGTGCGTTTTGTCACGACTGAATATTTATCACGTGTTTTGCCAATGATAATATGATGAATTAAAGAGATATAGAAAGGATATGATATGTTAAATATTGCAATTGTCTTTTGGGTGAAATTGACAGCTCCTTATTGATCCGAGGTTGTACTTTGTCATCATCGAAACTTGAGAATATATGTTGTGTGACTGCTTGCCCTCACAATGAGGTGTTGGTTCAGACTCTGAATTATCATTGTGTTTTTGGATAGGGGTTTCTTTTGTACTGCTTCGAATGTCTCATTCCTTTGTTGTTATCTCTAACATAAAATTAATCTCTTGCTTTAAAAAAGAGAAATGTGGTTGAACTTATCTCATCCTTACAAAACTGATCATATAGTCAGATCATATATTATTCGATGTGAGACTCTTAATATACCTTATCTCACAAAGAACTAGAAATTTGATACCAAGTAGTCAACT